GCGCATGTTGTCGTCGGAAAGCTTACAGTGGGGCCAGGCAGTGGAAAGCTTCCATATAGCACAGCTGGTACCTGGCGCATATTTTATCACGATTCAGACAACGGACGGAACGATGCAGCAATCGTTCATTAAAAAATAGGAACGTGTTACCAATCAATAACCACGCCGGCAGGTGATAACGGTAGGTAGCAATATGACTGCCATTGATTCAATAAGGAAATAAAATGTCCACAAAAAAATATGCCCATTCAAAACAAATGAATGGGCATAGCTGTATGTTTGACTTATATCACCCTGTTTTCCTGCTCTGCTTTTTTATCCAGGTAAGAGCCGATTCCTACGCCGATCGCAAGACCTATTGGAATGCCTAATGGCATCCCTAGTGCAATATTGCCCATCATCTGGCCAAACGGCAGGCCCAGTGGCATCCCCATGCCAATACCTAAAGGCAGGAACACACTTTTATGATACCCCTTCGGCACCAACTGAAACTTGTCTTTGATATAGCTTTTTAAATTAGAGATTCCGCTCAGCACTTTCCGGTTGTACTTCATTCTTTCACCGACAACCTTTACCGGCAAATTCCTTACTACTTCCCCTATTTTTTCGCCAAGCACTTCATCTGCGGTTATAGTTCCCGCTTCAATTTTGGCGATTACATTCCGGAGATAATCATAACTGATGTTTGCCTTTTCCTGACCGGAATAATGTTCCGTTTTTTCTGCTAATGCGGCTAATATGTTATCGGTGCTGAATTCAACCATTGGTGGAACATTGTAAGATCAACGCAAACTTACATTTTTTAGTTTTCATCTTCTTTGAATGAACAGAGCGCACGAAGCACAGCTGCTTCAAACGAAATTTATGCTGGTCAATTTTAAGACAACTCTTTTTTCTCCTCCGTCTGCAACAGTATTTTTTTCACCAGTACAATCTGCCCCAGATGATAATGGGCATGCTCTATAATGCCCTGAAGGTTCCGGTAGTAACTCCCGTACTTATCCGCTGTAAAAGCCTCAGAAAGTTTATCGTCCGGCAACTGCTCTATCAAAGCAGCAACATCTGCAGCTTCCTTCCAGGTTTTGTTCAATAGCCGCTCCCAATCTTCCGGGTTATGGATGGGCGGATGATCGAAGCTATATTTATCATTTGATTGCAATGCTTCACCCTGCAACACGTTTAGGACGGCATGTACATAATAATGCACATGGTAGGTAAGCGCCGCAATTGTATTCAACCCCCAAACGGGTGTAGTAGCCTGCTGCCAGGTCACATCTGCGAGGTGCTCCTTAAGATTGGAGCAAGTCCAGTTACCGCCAAAATGGACGTCTCTTAAATTTTTGGCTATCTGCCCGGTGATACTCATACTTTCCATAACTAATCGCCTCCTTTATAACAGGGTTACAAAGATCGTTTTTTAGTGAACATAAATCATTCCGGTTGATCTTAAGAAGAGAACGACAAGGGCAGCCGGCCTTTCCGAAAAACAAATAGACCACGGAATCACAACAGCCGGATCAGGATATTGAGGCTCCAGATAACAATTAAAGTGCCTACTGCCAGAAATGCTGCTTTCATGGGCAACCGTCCGGACAAGCGTG